ACCTTGTTGCTAGGGCAAACTCTAAAGGGAAACATTGGAGTTAGTGGAGAGACACGGTTCCCCATTACATAGTCTCCTGGCCATTTATAACAAAGGGTAAAATTAAAATGAAGCTTTTTGGCTGACACCGCTCCCCACAGTAGGGTTTTTATCATGAATGGTGTTGGATTTTGTGGAACAACTTTCCTGCATCTACTGTGATTATCATATGGGTTTTGTCCTTGGCTCTGTTAATATAGTGTATTACATTTATTGATTTACATATGTTGAACCATCCCTTCATCCCTGGGAAGAATCCCATTTTGTCAGGATGTATGATCTTCTTGATGACGATCTGTATTCTGTTTGCCAGTATCTTACTGAGGATTTTTTCATCTATGTTCATTCGGGAGCCTATAGTTCTCTTTTTCAGTTGGGTTATTCTCTGCTTTTGGGATCAAGGTGATGCTTGCTTCCAGAAATGAATTTGGGAGTATATCTGCCTTTTCAATTTCACTGAAAAGTTTAAACAGTAGTGGCAATAGTTTTTCTCTAAATGTCTTGTAGAATTCAACAGTGAAGCCATCAGGACCCAGGCTTTTCTTCATTGGAAAGTGTTTAATTACCTTTTCAATTTTGTTGATTGATATTGGTTGTTTAGAATTTTTAGGTCATTTTTGTTCAACTTTGGTAATTCATATGTATCTAGAAATCTGTCCATTTCTTCTGTGTTTTTCATCTTATTGCAATATAAGTTTTTCATCTTATTCCAACATAAGTTCTCAAAGTAGGTATTGATGATCCTCTGAATTTCTGCTGGGTCCATTGTAATTTCATCTTTTTCATTCCTAATTGCTTGGATTTGGGTCTTTTCTTTCCTTTTTTTGATAAGGTTTGCTAATAGATTGTTAATTTTGTATATTCTTTCAAAGAACCAACTATTTGTTTCATTGATTTGTTTGCATGATTCTCTTAGTCTCCATTGCATTGATTTCTGCTCTGATCTTTATAATTTCTTCCCTTGTATGAGCTTTGATTTTGTCCAGCTCTTTTTTTTCGAGAAGCTTTAGGTTCAGTATTAGGTTGTTTATTTGACCTCTGTCTGGTTTCCTAATGTGAGTATTCACTGCTATGAATTTCCCTTCTAAGACTGCTTTCATTGTATTCCATAGATTCTGATATGTTGTATTGGCATTGTCATTTTAATTGTATAAACAGTCTGATTTCTTCTTTAATTTCCTGTGTGACCCATTGGTTATTTAGAAGTGTGTTGTTCAATTTCCATGTGTTAATGAAATTTTTCTAGTTTCTTTTGCTATTGATCTCCAATTTCATCATACTATGGTTTGACAATATATAGGGATAATTTCAATTCCTTTGCACTTACTTAAACATGTTCTGTGAGCTAGTATGTGGTGTAATTTGGAGAATGACCAGTGTGCATCCAAAAAGAATGTGTATTCTGATTTTTTGTGCTGGAACACTCTGTGAACATCTTTTAAGTCAATTTTTTCAAGAGTTAGATTGAGTTCTAGTATTTCATTGTTTATTTTTTGTCTAGTTCATATATCTATTTGTGACAGTGGGGTATTGAGGTCCCCTACTACTATTGTATTATTGCTTATTTTATTTTTCATGTCCATTAGTATTTATTTTTGTATAGTTGAGGGTACTAGTATTTGGTGCATACATATTTATGATTGTCATCTCTTCCTCTTGGATTGTTCCCTTTACAAGGATGTAGTTGCCTTCTTTGTCTCTCTTCATTAGTGTTAGTTTAAAATCCATTTGATCTGAAAATAATGTAGCTACTCCTGCTTTTTTTTTGGTTCTTGTCACATGGAGTATTGTTTTCCACCCTTTAACTCTCAGTCTGTGAGTTTCTATTTGAATTATGTGTGTTTCTTGTATGAAGCATATTGTTGGATATTTCTTCTTGACCCATTCTCCTAGGTATTTTTGATTTGTGAATTGAGAACATTAACATTGATGGTTATAACATATATATTGACTTATCCTTGTCATAACATTTTCCTATTGTTGGATTTTTCCCTTTGCATTTTATTTCTTTTCTTGCCTGATGTATTCATTCTGTTGGGCTTTGTGGTATTGTGACCATCATCGTCTCTTCCTAGGATATTACTTAAAATTTTAGTTCCTCAGGTACTCTTTGTCATAAAAGTGTCTTAATTCTCCATCAATTTTGAAAGATAGTTTTGCAGGGTCCATCAATCTGGGTTGGAGGTTGTTTTCTTTTGGGGCTTGAAATACATCACTCCAAGCTCTTTTTGACTAGAGAGATTTTGTTGAGAAGTCTGCTGTAATTGTGATGGGCTTTCCTTTGTTTGTGATCTGTTTCTTTTCTCTAACTGCTCATGGGATTTTGTTCTCCTGTTTGGTTTCTGGAACCTTAACTATTATATGCCTAGGTGTAGATTTTTTTATCAAGTCTAGTCAGAGTTCTATATGCCTCACTTATCTGTATGTTAAATTCTTTTACCCTGCTTGGGAAGTTTTCTGCCATTATTTGTGTGAAAAGATTTTTTTTGTCATTTGAACTCTCTCCTGTTTCTTCATTGATTCCAATCAGTCTTATGTTACTCTTTTTTGCATCATCTAGCAGCTGCTGGAGTGATTTCTTATGGTCCGTTAATATTGTTAAGAATTTTTTCTTTTCCTGGTCACTAATTGCAATCCTGTCTTCTATATCTGAAATTCTGTCCTCACATTGGCTCATTCTGTTACATAAACTTTAGTGGAGTTTTTAATCTTCTAGAAATCTTTTTGCATCTGTTTTATGGATTCCATTTGTTTCCTATGCTGGGATTCCATCATGTTCCTTAGCTTCTCTATATTTTTATCTGTCTCTGCTCTAGAGCTTTTAATTGTCTTTCACTATGGATCCAACCTATTGTTATCTGAGAAATTATTTCTGATTTCATTTATTCCAGATCCTCTTTCCTTGACAGTTCAGGGTGTCCAGGAGGTTGAGTATCAGATTGTTTCATCTTGTTGCTCCTTGGGGCTATCTTAGCTGATCTGGAAGTCTGGTTTTGAGTCTTATTTAGGTTTCTTCTCATTTCAACAAATGCAGGCTGTTGCACCTTTGTTGGGGCGATGTTTTGCTTGCCCAGTGGGCTTCAATTCTTAGCAAGCCTCAGAGAGGCCTTCTCTCTGCTGCTCAGCACTGTGCAATTCCTGGGTTCAGCATGGTGGCCTTCTGGAACCCTGAGCTGCCCTGTTGTCCACAGGTTGCTGGCTGGGGCCTACACATACTCAGGATTGTATCTGGGTGTGCCTCTGGCTTTGGCCTGCCCACCTGCAAAGCTATTGTCTGAGAGAGGCTTTGGCTGGGGGCTGTGCACCTGAATCACTGGTGTCTGAGCAGGCTTCTGGCTGGGGTCTGTGCACACTTATCAATGATATCTGGGCAGGCCGCTGGCTGTTCCCTCTGTGTCTGTGCAGCTGTTTTCCAGGCAGGCCCTTGTATGGGGCCTGTGGGCCCAAGTTGCTGGTGTCTGAGTGGGGCCCTGAGATTCATAATATTTATTTCACAGAGTTATCACAAATTTGAAAGGCAGGGATTCATATTACAATCCCTAGCATAAGGAGGAAAACTAAAAATGTGCAATAAACCTTTTATTGAATAAATTCCCTTTCCATTTATTCCAAGTGAATGTTTAACTATCCTGAAGAATTATTTTTCTCTACTGTAGAAATTATATTGCCCACCATAATTTCTCTTATTGCTCTATCTTTTAGGAAGCTTAACCACTATAAAGTTCTTAGCAGAAGCAGTTTAGGTGCTTCAATTATTTCATGCAATTTAAGGACACTTTGGAAACTATCCTTTCTGTTTCCTTCCAGGTGAATCTTCAGGATAGAGAGAAGAGCTTGCACTGAATGAGGCCTTATAGACTGAATGCTACTTCCAATCATGAGCAATTTGCACAGATGGAGCACATCATTACCTACTCAGTACAATCTATAGTCCTATGTGGCATTGTAGTCAGATATTAATCTTCATCCCAATGCTTATTTGTTGCTAGAGAATGATTCTGAGGCAATATCAAAATTCTGCATAACGAAGTGATGTCCAAATAAATATACACTTAACAGAAAAAAAAGTACAAGTGGCAAATAAACACATGAAGAAGTGCTTAACATCACTGGCCACTAGAGGAATGCAAATTAAAATAATACTGATATTTCACCTTACTCCAGAAAGAGTGGTCATCATCAAGAAATCAAATAATAACAAATAGTGGAGAAGTTGGTAGGGGAGGAGTAACCTTTTTACACTGTTTGTGGGAATATAAACTGAATAACCAGTTTGCAAACCACTATGGAGATTCCTCAAAAAATGATACTAGAAATTTCATTTGACCCAGTTATTCCCCTTCTAGGTATCTTTTTATAAAATTAATTTTTGGTACATTTTAGATATACATAATGATAACACTCATCATAGGGAATTTGCACCTGTACATGATATATCTTGATTCTTCTTTTTTCCCAATCCCCTCCCTCCCCTTCAATCCCTCCTCTCCTTCTTATTTACAAAAGTTCATTTCCATTTTTTCCTTCTATTGTCTTTTTTTCTTTCCCTTTTCTTCCCCTCCAACCCTTGTTTCCTTTTCCATTTGAACATGTTCTTCCTATTTCCCCATATCTGGGAATTGGCCCTTATTTACCCTTTCAGTTTCTTGCACTAGAGAAACAATGCAATATTTAAACATGTGTATCTGATTTATTTCACTTAAAAGTATCGTCTCAAGGTGCATTCATTTACCTAGAAATGTCTCAAGCTTATCCATCTTCATGGCAGAGTAGTACTTCATTGTTTTTTTAAACCATGTCTTCTTTATCCATTCATTGATTGATGGTTGTTTCCAAGATTTAGCTATTACAAACTGTGCTTCTATAAACATGGGTGTGTATATATCACTGTAGTATGATGCTTTGAATGCTTTTTTTAAGACACTAAGAAAGGGAATAACCTGGTCAAATGAAACCTCTAGTTTTAGTTTTTAGAGGAATCTCCATACTGATTTCTACAGTGAATGCACCAGTCTACACTCCCATTCACAGTGGATAAGGGTTCCTTTATCCCTAAGGCCCTGCCAGCATTTGTCATTGTTTGATTTCTTGATAATAGCCATTCTTTCTGGAGTAAGATGAAATCTCAGTGTTGTTTTAAATTGCATCTCTCAAATGACCAGTGATGCTGAACATTTTTTCATGTATTTATTTGCCATTTATACTTCTTCATCTGAGAGGTGTATATTCATTTCAGATCCCCATTTTGGATTGGGTCTTTAGATGTGAGGGGTCTGATTTTTTTTTTTAGTTCTTTCTTTATATGTTCTAGATGTTAATCCTTTGTCTGAACAACAGCAAGCAAAAACATTTTTTTTTCCATTCTGGGTTGTCTCTTCACTCTGTTGGTGGTTACTTTTGCTGTGCAAAAGCTTTTCAATAAAATGACATCTCAGTTGTTAATTCTTTGTAATATTTCCTATGCAATTAGGATTTTGTTCATAAAGTCTTGGCCTACATCTATGTATTCAAGAGTTGTACTGATTCTCTCTTCCAGAAGATTTAGTGTTTCTGTTTTAATATTTAGATCTTTGCTCCATTTTGATTTTAATTTAGTGCATAGTGAGAGATATGAGTCTAGTTTTAATCTTTGGCATGTGGAAAGCAAGTTTTCCCAGCACCATTTATTAAAGAGGCTATATTTCTTTCAATGAAGGTGTTTGGCCCCTTTGTCAAAGATAAGGTTGCTGAGTTTGTTTGGAGTTATTTCTGCATCTTCTAATCTGTTTCATTGATCTTCAGGTTTGTTTATTTTCCAGTACCATGTGTTTATATCATAGTAGCTTTGTGGTATAATTTCAAGTCAGGGATTATGACAGCCTCTGTCTTGCCTTTGTTGCCCAGAATTGTTTTTACTAATCTAGGTCTCTTTTAGTTCCAAATGAACATTTAGGATTATACTATCTAAGTATGTGAAGTATGCTGTTGGTATTTTGATCAAGATTGCATCAAATCTGATAAAAGTTTTTTTTTTTTTGGTATGGCCATTCTAACTAATTTAGTTCTTCCTACACAAGAATAAGGACTATCTTTCCATTTTCTGATATCTTCTGATCTCTTTTTTTCAGAGCAGTGTAGTTTTCAGTGTTAAGGTCTTTAATTTCCTTCATTAGATTGATTCCTAAGTATTTTATTTTTATCAATGCTATTGTGAAAGATGTACTTTCCCTAATTTCTCTCTTAGTGAGTTTGTTATTTGTTTACAGGGATGCTATTAATTTTTGAGCTTTGACTTTTTATCCAGCTATGTGACTGAATTGATTATTAAATCTAGAAGTATTTTGGTGGAGTTTTTGTGGTCTTCTATGTAGAGTATTATGTCATCAGCAAATAATTATAGTTTAACTTCTTCCTTTGCTATACTTATTCATTATATTTCTTTCTCTTTTCCAATTGGTCTGGCTAATGTTTCCAAAACTATGCTGATTAAGAGTGATGATAGTGAGTTCCGGTGGGAGAACGCGGCAGTGAAGTTTTCGTCTTTGGTTCCTGCCATGCACCGACCGAATTTTCGACCCCCAACTCCTCCTTACCCGGGGCGGGTGTAGGAGGCTGGGGTAGCGGGAGCAGCGGCTGCCCTCCCCTCAGGACGGGTTCGGGAGTCTGCACCATATGCCGGCCGCTGTGCATGCGGGCCCCGGGCTAGGCCCTAAGGAAGCAGCCACTTTCTGCGACAGGGCAATTAAAGTAAGTAGACTATTTTTCAAATACCTTTCACTAAACTTCATATGTAAGAAAAGTCTTCAGAAACTGATTCTTGGAGATAATTATCAAATCTTTTAGAGATTGTTAGGTTATTGTCAGAGACAAAGGGAAGTTAGGATGCCAGGTACAATGGTACATGCCTGTAATCCCAGCTACTTGCAGGCAGGGCAAAGAGGATTGAAAGTTCAAGGCAAGGCTGTGCTACTTAGCAAGACCCTACCTCAGAAATATAAAAAATTTTATGCCAGTGTATTTGCATCATACTTGGGAAACAGTCAAATGTAACTCTCCTAATAGTTTACGTGCATTTTGTTTCTCTGCTTTACTTGAGAAGCAAAATAGTAAACGAGTAAAATTTCTTGCTAAGTTACCAACACCTCCTTCTTCAGATTGGGCCTTTGATGACTTTTTTGAAAAGGCGAAATGTGTTTTTTTCCCCCAGGAAGATGGATACAGCATTGGTAGGGTATACAGCATTGTAGATAAAGTCTTTATGTCATTGGTAATTTGGTTTAATTTCTATTTTTGTTGTTCAGGTGAGTGAAAGAAAACTTTTTACTCTTTAAAATAGAAAGTGATTGGTTTTGTAGTGTTCCAGAATATACATTTTACATCCATAGAAACTGAAAACTTTTTAGAAAAAAGTATAATTAAGAAAGCATCTAAGAAAGTCAGATAATCAAGGAAGTACTGAACTTTGAGAGAATCTTCAAACCAAAGATATGCACACTGCTGGGAGTATTCAGCTTTCCAAGAGATGCAGAGGCGTGGTTTCCTTTAAGGGAATCCAAATTGAGATTCTCAATTCCCTTATAAACTCCTTGTTAAAATAGATCTACCTAAGAACATGTCCACAATTAAGAGATCATATCAGTTCTTTTCATAATTTCCTTCCATTTTATAAAAGAAACCCATGGCAAGTTATGTTTTCCAAAAGTGACCCTGATATCATTTCAAGTTGCACATACTCTCCCAGAACCTTGCCACAGAGTCCTGTCAAGATGTTGTATTCCTTCCATTTGTACCTGAACAGACGTTTCTGACTGCCCTAATTGAGGGAGTTTGATGAAAATGAATGTAATCTCATTATTGGTGAAGTATGGGGTTAGAAATGGGTTCCGAGTGGCCCATGTGGAAATGTTCATAATTCAGATGTATTTATCAAGTAGAGAGATGATTGTGTCAGTTTAATGACCTTACCTTTTTTGTTTTCTGACAATTTACAAAGCCAGCTCTGAGGGTAAAATGTATAAAAGAAAACATGAACATAACATGAAGGAAAAGGAACCTTTTTAGACAAATGGTAAGGGTTTTTGTCTCATCTCTAAGAATTAGAATATTCAGATCTGATATAAAAGTAAGGTTTTGATGAATCAAAGCCTGTGAAGCAGGCTGTATTTCCACTTTTAGTTATAAAGAGCCTGATAAATGTGTCTCAGTCCCTATCAACATAATTTGCATGATTTCAAGGAAGAAGTTAAAGAGTTTCATGTTTACTTCTGACATACTAACATTACATCTTCAAGTTAAAAGAACATGTGTTAGAGGTAAGTTCATAGTTTTATATTTTCTGAAACATTTTAGATTATTAGGAGAAACATTTTCATTAACCTTTGCCAGTACATTCTTAGAGTCTATAAATCCATATTGTTTAACCTACACTCAAGCATTTCTCTGCTTTCTTCCCTGTAATGTATTTAAGTATAAATTAACAGAAATATTTTCTGGTTTTTACTGTAAATAAGACATATAATAAACCTGAACTTGCTAGTGACTCAGTATCATCTTTTCTTTTTGCTCTTAATTTCCTACTTTTATCACTCTTCTAAAACTATCACAGCTCACCATTTTGTATACCACTTGATAAAAACATGGCCAGATAAACTATGATATACCATCAATTTTAAATGG